GAGCGACACTAGAAATTTTCCTTACACCGATACCACCAAAACGAATTGGCAGCGTAGCTTGAGTCCAGCTTAATTCATTAAGAGATAAATTTTGAATTTTTCTAGCGCTGATTTAAGATGGAAATCAATTTCGTTCAAAAAGTGACCGCATTTCCAAACGGGACTCGAGCGAGAGAGGGTAAATTTAGGTACAAGAATACAATGTCGCAAAATAGTAAGCGCAATATGCGAATTTAGTAAAAATAATTTATTGACATGATCTAAAAATTGACTTAACTTTAATTTTAAATGAGGTTCCAAACTTGGTATCAACAAAGGAGCACCTAAGAGGTAAAGTGAATCTGAACGGACTACGTTAATTCCCGGTATGATAGAGCCAAAGTTTGGGTCAAAATGATTTTGTCGGAAAAAGAAATCTTTTCGGAAAAGAAAAGTTCGCATTTGGAATTATTTAAATCGAGACCGATATTTTTAAATTGTCTAATAATTTCAATAAGATCACTTTGTACATCGTCAACTTTACCTCCCAGAGTACCATCGTCTAGGTACCAGACATTAAGTTTAGATTTCAATTTTGAAATAATTGGATTAATTCCCAAACTAAATAATGCTGGTCCTAGCGGATCTCCCTGCTGAACGCCGACAGCAGAATCAATAATATGGTTTTCATAAAATAAATTACTCTTTTCACTGTAACATTGCCAAACATAGTGATATATTTCTGGTGTATGGTTAGCCACTTCGTTCAGCAGAGTCGTTCTATCAATGGAGTTAAAAGCATTCCTTAGGTCAACCTTCAGAAGTACATCCAAATCACTAGTATTTAAAGAAGTTCGAACGGAATGTACAGCCGCTTCACAGCCGCCTTTGCTTCCAAAGCCTAGTTGAATGGGCTGGAATTTTCTTTTAAGGCCGGAGATTATGTGCCTACATGCTAATTTTGAAGTTAAGCGTCGAAAGGTAGAACCAATAGCAATAGGACGGATACCATTATCTTTTTTTTTAAAGGCACATAATCTTGCCCCGTATAAGAAAGGAACAAATTTAGGATTTACTTTTCCGGAAAGCATTAAGTTGCATAATTTGGTAATATCATTAAGAAGCGCTCTGCCAGCATCACCGGCGGAAACGCTTACAAGATCTTTCAGATGTTGTGGCGCTATACCGTCAATGCCGCCAGCAGAGCCACTTGAAAATGACATAATTGCCTCGAAAGTGTCTTTATCGGTAATTTGCAAAGCCTGATATGAAGAATCGGGAGGCAGCGGTAGGAGCGGCGGAAGATTGATCGATGGATGCTTTTGTCGGAGGTTTTCTAGAGTCTCATCATTAAACGGAGCAAGGATGTCGTCTGAAAATAAAATGCGCGATGCATTTTTTAAATCACCATCCATAACTTTAGTCTCTACAGTTCTCTTTAAATCGAATTTACGGGGGGGTTTAGTTATGGATGAGGCAGTCTTTAATCTTGTAAATATTAGATCTATAATAAATATATGAATAAAAAAATTCGGATTATGTACACAAAATGTGTTAGGCTTTCCTGCACAAGTTGATTACACATGAACTCGACTGTCCGTTTCTCTTGCATAGTATTAATATTAATGTTCCTAGGATAAGTGCACGGATAAAAAAATATAAACCCTTTCACCTTAAAACTAGTAGAAATGAATACGGCTCAAAAACACCTTTAGTAACAGCACTAAATGCTTACAATGTTTTCTTTCAGAAATGTTATGTAGATATGTATTCTGAAAAACTATATGTATTTAAGAATAAAATATATACAGCGTGTCGTTACCATCGCGACAATAAATGAACACGCATATAGGGGATAACTTTTTAAAGTTGTATTAAACATTTAAATTCTTTAAACATCAATATTTACAGAGTTATTAAATTTTCCAAAACAAAGAATTTTAGAACACCCTTACCTATAAAAGCGTAACGTAAAGTTCATTTGTAAAGGTCACAAAGCATATGAATGGGTTGAACTGAATTTAAAAAAGACAAAACATACTGTTAGAAGGAGAGGCTTGTAATACGACGCTGTGACGCGAGTTGTATAGGATGTTACAAATTTTGTTTCTTTTTTACTTAATTACTTTGTTTGAAAAATATTTTTTTTTAATTATGGATTTTGTTTAACGTTAATATTTTTTATGATTATTGGCAAGTGGCGTTAGACGTGTGTTCATTTATTGTCGCGATGGTAACGACACGCTGTATACACCTCAAACATTTATAACTTTATATTATGTTAATAATAATAAATATTATTGCTAATTTTATCTATAACTTCCTTAGTATTTTTTTTCTCAGAGTTATAAGAGATTTTTTTTTAGTTAAGTTTCTATTCTCTGTTTCAAGTTTATTTTATAATTTTGTGTTTACCTGTGATCTTTTACGGCGGTAGGGTCACGCAGCAGCCTCGGCTGTTGCACGAATGGCCAGGCTCGTCCGGGTAAGTACCACGACCTCACAGAAGACCGGCGTAAAGTGGAAGTATAATACTTTCGCGTTTCGTCTGGTAAGTGAGGTGGCCGGAGCCCAATTTCCAAAGGGTTGTCAACGCATCTGCAATCTTCGGGTGTAGTAGATGTCCATGGGCGGCGGTATTCACTTAACATCAGGTGAACCGTCTGCACGCTTGGCAAATTTTCACATAAAAAAATCTAAGTATGTTCATATATTCTTAAGACTTTATTATTATTTATGGATTCACTTAAGGCAGATCGACAACAGATGCGGGCGTCGCACTTGTCAAACATATTTATAACGCCTGGGAAAGGTCACAAGGTGTCTTTTGTGACCTTTCAAAAGCCTTCGACTGCTTAGACCATAAAACTCTCCTTCAAAAGCTAGAATATTATGGCATTCGTGGCATCGCCCTCAATCTCATTGCCTCTTACCTAATAATAGAATTCAAAAAGTATCTATAAATGATGTTAATTTCGCTGGGTCCCCGATGAAAATGGGTGTCCCACAAGGATCAATCTTGGACCCATTATTATTTTTAGTATATATTAATGATCTCCCCTTTTATGCCAGTGGTTGTGTGATGTTGTACTGTTTGCTGACGATACATCGCTAATTTTTAAAGTTGCCCGAAACGTATTAAATTATGACGACGTGAATAGTGCACTTTCACATATCCTCTAGTGGTTTACTATTAATAATATGGTATTAAATGCCAAAAAAAACCAGATGTATTCTTTTTACCCATCCCAGTATAAGAAGGAAAAGTTTTAGTTTAATATTAAATAACCTACCCATTAATCCAGTTGAGTCTGCTGTATTTCTGGGAATTACAGTAGATTCAAAGCTCCAGTGGAGTCCCCATATATCATCTCTTGCGAATAGGCTGAGCTCCGCTGTTTTCGCGATTAGAAGGGTTTGGCAGCTAACAGACATCGACACTGCCAGACTTGATTACTTTTGTTATTTTCCCAGCATCTTGTCGTACGGCATTTTGTTGTGGGGTAGTGCATCAGATATAAATTCTATATTTATTCTTCAAAAAAGAGCTGTCCGAGCATTCTACAATATCGGAGCCCGGAATTCACTCAGAGATCTTTTCAAAGAGGTTAATATACTCACTGTTGCTTCTCAATACATTTATTGTAATATTTTGTGTATACGTCATAATCTTAATTATTGAAAAGATTAATGACAGACATAAAATAAACACTAGAAATAAGGACAAACTTACTACGCCATTGTTTCGTCTACAAAAAGTAAATAGGTCGTTCATGGGGCAAAGTGTGCGCATGTATAATAAAATCCCACAGTCGAGATTAAGGCTGCCGCTTGACCAATTTAAATTTAAAATTAAAAATCAACTAATGATTAAATCATATTATACCATTTCGGAATATCTCGACGACGCCAATATGTGGAGTTAATACTGTTGATACTCACGTAGGCTAGAATAAGACTATTATATTGTACCCTGATATTTTTAAAAAGAGCAACTGTTGAGTTTCTTGCCGGTCTCTTCCCAACAGAAACTGCTATCTGAACCGGTGGTACCTTACGAACCTATATACATAATCTTTGATGTAAAATTTGACGATTTATAAGAGCGCGCAAGCGTCTATTTGAATAAATATATTTTTGATTTTGATTAAGGTAAATGTATTTGTATGTCAATGTTCTGTACATATTTACTTGGTAAACTTTAATAAATAAATAAATTATTGTATTCATTCTCTATTCTATTCTATTCTTGTTTAATCTTTCTTAATTTAACTGGAATTATTTGCTCTTAAACATCTTTGCATTTATTATTCTCGTTTATTCTTGTATTTAGCTGAAACAATACTGTGTCACCTAATAAGGTGCATACATCAGATTTTTTTTGTAATCTTTTTTATTTAAACGTGGAATGTATGTCATATTGGTGTCATTTAATTATATAAGTATCATATTATATGCCCGACACGTTCATATTAATTTCCTCTGATTTCATTGACTGCATAGTGCATACTTATAAATTATAATATTTTTGTTAGAACATTCTAACCAATTTTTACTTCACTTTCATATATTATACTTTAGTGGTTTTTAAATAAATCAAAACACTTTTTACAAACAACACAAATTAAATAGGTAACATTTGCTTCTTTTTTCTTGCAATATCATTATATTTTATCTTTCATTATTTCCATAATTCCATACGAATACGGCAACACCAATAAATGGCTGAGTTGATTCTACATTGCTCTATTATTATTTTCGATTGGTATTTTAATACATTTTTAAATCAGGCCTAACAATATTATTTTTTTATTGCTCCTTCATAAATTCGATGTGTACCTAAATCTCCGATGATTTTTGACGTGTTTGAATCATGTTTGACCGCGGATGCGTTACGAGCCGCAGTTCATTGCCTTATGTAAAACTGGAAATGGTGTTTCTTCCGTGAGTGACCGAAATATATAGTGACTTATGTGTATAGTGTTAACATCTAATCCAGTGATAGTGAATTGTGTGTTATAATGTCTAATTCGACGGCCCAAGTGTTAATGAAGAAGGGTAAACGGGGTGCAGCGGCGTATATACATGCGGATTGCGCCAGTGGGTCGCCACAGCACCTAGGACCACTTCTAGACGTGCTGCTGAACCCCAGCAAAGCTATCGACGAATGGGAAACGATAGATTGGTGTCGATGGCTGTTGGCAGGAGGAAGAACACCCGACGAGTTCGCAGCCGTTGGTAAGTTCATCAAATCGTAACTGTACTCTTTAATTGTCTATAAATTTTCTAGGTTATGAGCAAAGTTACGGTGATCCCTTCATATATTAATTTATTTACATCTTTGTTTTTCTATCTTACTGTTGTAATTATTTGTAATTATAAATAAAAGTGTTTTAGCTTTTTTTGCTTTATTAAGTTAACAGATTTCCATGATTTATGTGTTTTTTTACAGTGGTAAGGTAAAGTTGATGACATCACATTTGTACCTTATAGTAATATGTTTGGAAAGCTTTTTGTGTAAATAAATATTCCACCTAGTCATTGGATAAGAATTTTTAATGTAATTCTAAAGTGATCATTAGTAATATCTATTGTGGTTATTAATATCATCTATACAATGTTTACTCTACAAATCACTACTTAGAATAAAACAAAGTATTCCTGCTGTCTGACTGTCCCTATGTATGCTTAGATCTTTAAAAATACGCAATGGATCTTGATACGTTTTTTTCACTACATATAGTGATTCAAGAGGAAGGTTTATATGTATAATACATTACACCCGGGCAGGTAATATAAAAAGCATTTTTGTGTTGCAAATGTTTATTAATAATTATAACTCATTAAAAAGTAACTAAATATGATTTTTATGAATTATATTAATTTTAAGATGTTACATAGGTATATATTGAGCAACAGAACAAATATTATGAAAACAAATGACTTTAAGTAACAAATATAACTTTAATGTTATTATGTAACATCCTTATTTAAATAAGTAATACTTATACTAAACTAAATAACAATTGGGATATTATGGTAAGTGTTAGAGTAGTCTAGAATAATCTGGTTTTTAAAGCTATTAAAAGAAAAAAAACAAGTTTTTTACAGTTACCTATATTATCTTTATTAAACCATTCTACATTTTTTTAGTACTATTAAAACTAGAATTATAACTTAGTATTTGTATCTAAAATGTTTCTAGTTTTCTTGTATACACAGGATTATATAAAATTTAATACAGAATTTATGAAATTGTGAATGAATACTTTATGTCCACCACACATAAAAGGAAACACAAAATTAACAATAGACAAACAAATTAATGGAATGCACAATATTTCATTATTGTTCTTTTGTAATAATCATCAAATAATATTGATAGAAGTGGTTTAAAGTGAACATTATTATAAAAAAAACACTTATCATCATTTATCTTTCCTACAACTAGAGAAATCAATGTATAATATATATATATATATATATATATATATATATAATAATAAAAAAACGATTAATTCCACTTCACCTAATTATATTTCTATTTTGTTTCTACAAACTTCCTATTTTGTGGAATAGTACAATCCTGAGTTGTAGATGCATAAATGAAATGAGAATAAATCTGATACATGTTTATACAAAAACCTGTCTCAGTTTGGATTATTGGTAATTTAAAACCCGCAAGCCAAACTTAAATAAAACATATCTTCTAGTTAGCAGTGGTCCTTGGGCCTTACTACCTAACCCAATCCATACAAAACATAAGTAAGTTACATAAAATAATACTAGTTCCTAACTTAAATTTAATGGAGCTTTGCACTTACAACTATGGCAATAGTAACGTTTTTTGTTGATTACAAATATATGTTGATTTTTTTTAAAGATCTTTTGGGAGTTTTTGTCCATTTCCTAATTTTCAATATTGCGCAACAGATACAATTCGACCTTTAATGATTCATGCCTTGTCATTACAGATGATTGACATCATACTTGTAGATTTATGAGGAAGACTTTTGAGTTATAAAAGGAGAGGGGGTTTACATCGTACTGATAATACATAATTTTTTTTTTAAGAAAATATATTAGAAGAGCATTAGAAAATATTTAACTTATGTCTTCTATTATTGTAGATCATATGCTAGATGGTAACCTGAGCACAGTTTTATGTATTTTAGATTAAAGTAAGTTTGTTAAAATAACAGTACTAGAGCGCAAAAAATGGTTGCTGGTCGTTTTTTATGTAAAATTATTTTTTTATTGGTAATTTTATTCAATAGGATTTTTGTATTTGGATAATGTCATTTAGCACCACCACAAATTTTAGAGCTACCAGTAGGCTAACATCCATTAAAAATTCAAGCAAACAAGAAAAAAACTCAAAAATTTATGAGATATTTCTCTATTGACTTTTAAAGTTCATTTGGGAGGTTGATTTGTATAAAATCACATTTTCACCTTTATAGTTGTATATATAAACTTAAAAAATCACCCATATGATGACAGATGACTCCGTGGCACAGTTGCCAAGGTATTGGCTTCGGAGTCGGGGTTCGTGGGTTCGATTCCCACACGGGACAACTATTTGTGTGACCCACAGGTAGTTGTTTCGCATCTGGGTGTTTGTCCGCGTGAAATTTTTGTTTGTAAAACGTCCCTACAACACAGGATAATGTTATCCTAAGAGGCAATGTTTTTAAAAAAAAAAGAAAAGAAAAAAGAAAATATAGACAAAGATAAAAAGGGGAAAATGATATCAATACAAAGTGTGATCCAAATCGTTAGATCTATTTCTAAGATACAGGAAATTTATCACTATAAATTTCCTGTATCTTAGAAATAGCTCTAGTAAGAGCATTTCTTGTTTAAAGTTATGTAAGAGTCTCATTCTATTGGCTTTAATTTTTTTAAAGTTTATGTCTACTGTCAACCTTTTTAAGACCAATTTACTTCTTATAGGTAACACAGAGTCCACACATACTATTTATTATATTAGTAGTACCTAATTATATTAGTAGTACCTACCTAAATATAGTTTTGAAATATTGACAGCAAAATGTGAGTTTTAGTAGAAAACAATTATCAAAAACTTTGTGGTGCTGTGGGATTCAAACCTGTGACTTCTGGGTTTTGCGCTCAGATGCTTTAGCAACTAAGCAAAGCAGCCTATGACCACACTGCACGAAAATCTCGATATCTAGCAACCCTCGGTGCCATCTATAATGCTACTTAAAATTCACCTTTTATAATTCATCTTTAGTAGGTTACAAATAAAACTTCTCTCAAAATATTATTAATCAGACATTAAAGGTGACATGTAATCCCGTAATTAATGCAATTTAAACGGTGGTAGGGCCACGCAGCAGCCTCGGCTGTTGCACGAATGGGCAGGCCCTTCCGGGTAAGTACCACAACCTCACAGAAGACCGGCGTAAAGTGGAAGTATGACAAATACTTTCGCGTTTCTTCTGGTGAGTGAGGTAGCCGGAGCCCAATTTTCAAAAGGTTGTCAACGCATCTGTAACCCTCGAGTGTGGCAGATGTCCATGGGCGGCGGTATTCACTTAACATCAGGTGAACCATCTGCTCGTTTGAATACTTTTCGCATAAAAAAAAAATTGACCAATTTATCTTTTTTTACCATTTAATACCTTTATAGGCCTAATAAATTCCTCTGTTTGGGGCAGTTGGACTGTGGTGTAGTGCTCATAATGCATGGATGTAAATATATTATGTAGTATACTGTATACATTATGTGGCTGAGGCAGTAAAAAGTACAGTACAAAGTTTGGAGGTTCAGCCATACGACTTGACCATGAACCTGCATCCTGCTCCTGCGGGTGTGGGTTCGACCACCACTACTGGAAAAATATTGTGTGATGAACATAGTCTGTTTGTTTGTAAATTTATTATTATGTAAATAATACGTATTATACATTTTTAATATGTATTTATTTACAAAATAAAAGTATGTTTTTCAGTTTTCTAGTACCCATAGTACAAGCGTTGCTTAGTTTGGGACTAGTTGGTACTAGAGAAAGTTGTGTCAAAAATGCGTCCGAAAATGTTTGTATTTATATGATTGCTCGCACATTTATCTTTTATCATGACTTTAGGGGGATAAAGCTGACAAGATACTCTTTTTGAAGTACAATTTACTGTTCCTTTTCCAATTCCAATTCCTGTTCCAATTGTCACTGTGTTTTTAATTAAAAGTTAACACTTTGCGTGGCACAGTGTATTAATTAACTTAATTAGAATTATCATTTTTTTAGATTATAAGGGTAAAAAATCCGTCAATACTGTAGTGAATACGGATACGGTTATCTGGATCATCACTAATAAAAACATGATGGAGTGTTGTACCATGTGTTGTTGCAAGTTCATATTTATATACATAAGAGTTGAAAAAAATATTGTTTCACCCAAGCCATAGAAAACTACTAGCGTTAGATAGAAAACTTCTATCTCGAAAAAAAATGTGTTTCTTTCAATGTCCGATATGTAGTAGCAATAGATATAATTTAAAGTCTTCGCAATCGTTCCGTTAAACAGTGACAGTCTTGCTATCTGTCACATTTTAGGACTCGATCTCGACATTTTTGCAAGAGCGAGAAAATATGATATTGAAAATAAAATAATTGATGACTCCGTGGCGCAATTGCCAAGGTATTGGCACTGGCGGCAGGTGTCGTGGGTTCAATTTCTACACGGGGCAACTATTTGTGTGACCCACAATTAATTGTTTCGGATCTGGGTGTTGTCCACGTGAAATTTATGTATGTAAAACGTCCTTACAGTATAGGATAATGTTATCCTCCAGTAAGGGCCACTTTAAAAAAAAAAGACTGAATGAATATGAGCTTGTATTATTATTATTCGGAAATCATGGTGACCCCATGCGCGACCCACTTGAGGCCAGCCTCACGGCGGTGTCAAGTCAACCCGGTGCACGATGAAGGTCGAAGAATATGGTCTATGACGAAGCTCAATAATGCCGCACTGCTGACATCTTATGTCCGACGAGACTCAATAGTAATGGCAGATATTACCTTTTATATCTCTGTACAGTTTGCTAAACTCGTCTTTAAATACTTACTTCGCTGGTTCAGGGACCAAAGAGGATCTTGGCCTCCGACACTAAAAGATGCCACGGCTCTCTAATACTGTGGTGAGAAAATAAAGAGTTATTATTATTATATGATATGCTCTCTTGATGGCATGATTCCCCCACATCCTCT